ATAGGCAGAGTATGAAAGAATGTCAAGAAGCATAATGGAAAAGTTCTAGATATTTTCGAATATGCTTTTTGCTGGGCTTGCTTTTGGGAGCTGCTGAGCCCCTCAATGAGTTCTCACTGGCGCCTTCAGTGGGTGAGACAATTTCTACCTCAGCAAATTCACTCTGCTCATGGGAGGCCAGCCTGTGCCCTCGTGCCTTGTGTTTAGTGCCCTCCTGAATCACAAGACCCTCACAAGGTGCCTGTTGAGTCGTGGAGCCTGAGATGGTACTTACAAGAAAGCAGAGCACAGGGTGCTCTACTATGGCAGCCACCCGTGGATGCTGACACTCAGACCAGAGGCAGAATGGAAATAAGGACAGCTGTGGTGGGAGGGGACCCGCTCTTCAAGTGAAGAATGTCGGAAAGCCTTGGCTCACCCATCACATGCAGAGTTGTGCATCATCCCTTCAGAGATGAGGCGCCATGTTTGAGGGAGAGGACCAGCATGGTGGCTTGGAGTCAGGCAGAGGTGGGCATGAACTCTGGCTTCACTGCCTCCCGATTCCATGATCATGACCATGGGCAAGTCATTGAAACTTCTTGAACTTCATTGTTACCATCTGCAAATGGGGATGATCATAGGCCCTTATAAAGTTATCATGAGGATTAAATGAGATGCCAGAGGGAATAACATGGTACCTTGCCTAACCCAGTGCCTGGCACTTAGTGGTTAGTTCCCCTTTTTCACTTTGAATGGAAGCTATAGTTAAGTTCCATTTGACGATTGTCAATTGACTTCCTACTCTGTGCTGCACATGTACAGTTGCTGGGAAAACAAAGGCAAATCAATGAAATCGTCCTTGTCCTCAGGAAGGTCACAATCTAGGTGGGGTAATAGACATGTAAAGGTATGACAGCAACCAGAGAAAGGCCACACTTATTGCTTTACAGGACAAAGTTTATGGTACACGTTTTACAGTCTAAAGAGATTCTCCAGACAGGTATACTTTGTTCCCTCTCTCTAGGGGTGAATTTTACCAATAGGTGTCATTTGAGAGATGAAAAGGACCCTTCCCGGTGGACCAGGGCAAAGGAATGAAGTCTGAATTCATGTATCAGGGGAAAGGCCTTATTAATGGAAAAATTTACCATTTTCTTTAAGCCACCTTCAAGGCACCTGAAAACTTCCTAGTTGGAATCACTGGGGAATTGGTATCTAATTGTCCAGGAGGGACACAGCCGCATCAACTTCTTGACTTGATTAATCCAATACTACCACCCAAGGCTACTTAACAGTGCAAATGACTAATTTCTCTAAGACTTGGCTCTGTCACCTAGAAAATAGGGTAATGACATTACTCAGAGATTAAATGGGATAATGTATACTATGGGCCCAGCAGAGAGCACACGTAAGTGTTCTTGTATAGGTTATCCATGAATTCTGGAAAGGTTGATGGGAGGAGGCAAATGCCCCCACATTCAAATGCCCTCTTTGTTTTCTAACCAGGTTTACTATGAGTGATAAGAATTGGCTCCAGCTTTGATTTCAAAGAACTTATTAATGGAAAAATCTGCCCTGGCTGCCAAATACAAGGCCTTCAGGGATTGAGGGTCTTTTCTCCTTCTTCCTAAAGGCCAAATGTAAGCCTTGGCAGCCCTTAGCTGGAGTCCGTCATGGTAAAGAAGCTCTCTGAAGTCCATTGCTAACAGGATTGGGAAGAAAGATCTCAGTGCCTCCCAGGCAGCCTGAAGCTTGTGTGGATGAGGCAGTGGGTGGCTGTGTAAGCCCTTTGAGTGGATTAGATGTGACACCAGACCTGTGTGTATGTCAGTTTAATCACTGTTTTTATTATAACAATGCTAATGGAAAATGTAAAGACTAAAATACATTGCTTCTAATCCCATGACTCTTTGAAATTGATTTCATTTTATAAACTGCTTTTCTGCCCTCGTCTATTTGCATATATGTATGCAAACACATACATAAATCTGCATATCTATGCACACAATTTTACTTTTAGTTGACCTACAAAATGTATTTTGGTTTTGAAGATTAATATTAGAATGTAGACCTCTATCTAATGTTACATAGTTTTCATAATTGTCATTTTAATAAGCACAGGTTATATCTTCAAGTTGCTATATTATACCTGGCTTAGCTACTTTTGTCACTTTGAAAAATTTAGGGCATTTTCATTTTTTTTTAAGTTATAAGCAAAACTTCAGTAAATATATATGTGCATATAACTTCTTTTAGGAGCTATTACTTTAGGGGAAATTCCCAGGGGTGAGATTTCCGGGACGCAGTAATGTGTAAAAACACTGGCTTTGAAATCAGGCAGAAGTAAATTCAAATTCTTATTCTACTCTTTTTAAATTATTTTAAAGATGTGGTGTGCAATTCAGGATTAGGTACATAAGTGGTCATCGTACAGGTACTAATGGGCCTCCCATCAGTCTTCACTTCACCTGGTTTAGAATCAGGTATTGATGTTATGTGCCTTCCCTCCCCCAGCAGTATCCCACTGCTGCCAATCCCTTTCCTGTAGTATTATGATAAATGTTCAGGGTCCAATTATGAGTGAGAACATGGTACTCACTTCTTTGTTGCTGTAATACATCACTGAATGTGATAGACGCTAAATCCATTCAAGTTGCTGCCAAGTCCATAATTTCGTCCTTCTCTATGGCTGTGTAATATCCCATTATGTATATTTTTTTATCCAGTCCACTTTCGATGCGCAGCACAGTTGGGTCCATGTTTTTGCTATTGTGAATAGTGCAGCAATAAACATGCATGCACAGGTATCTTTTTTGCAGAATGCTTTGAGTTTCTCTGGGTATATTCTCAGAAGGGGGATTGCTGGGTTGTGTGGAAGAATGAGATTTAGATCTTTTCGAAATCACCACACTGTGTTCCACAGAAGTTGTACTAATTTACACTTCCACCAACAGTGTAGAAGTGTTCTTTTTTCCTCATCCTCTCTAGCATCTGTTATTTTTTGAGTTATTAATGCTGACCATCCTGACTGGAGTTAGGTGGCATCTCAGTGTGATTTTGACTTGCATTTCTTTGATTACTAGTGAGGCTGAGCATTTTTTTCATGTATCTGTTGGCTGCTCATATGTCTTCTTCTGAGAAGTGTCTATTCTTATCTTTTGCCCACTTTGTAATGGGGCTGTTTGTTTTTTTCCTTTCGGCACATTTGAGTTCCTTGTAGATCCTGGATGTTAGACCTTTGTCAGATAACCAGTAGGCAAATATTTCTTCCCAGTTTGTGGACTGTATCTCCACTCTCCTGATGGTTTCTTTTGCTTTGCAGAAGCTTTTCAGTATGATGAGGTCCCATTTGTCTATCTTACCGCTTATGGCATGGACTTTTGCGTTTATGATAAGGAACTGGTTGCCCATTCCAAGTTCTGTAAGGATGTCTCCTACATTTTCTAAAATTCTTATAGTTTAAGGTTTTACGTTTAAGTCTTTGATCCATTTAGAGTTGATTTTTTAGCAAGATGGCAGCCACTGAGGAGGACTGTGGTGTCGGGGTTGACGCAGACCGGGAACTGGAGGAGCTCTTGGAAAGTGCTCTTGATGATTTCGAGAAAGCCAAATCCTCTCCAGCACCCCCTCCTACCACCACAGCCCCTGATGCTTCGGGGCCCCAGAAGAGATTGCCAGGAGACACTGCCAAAGATGCCCTCTTGGCTTCCCAAGAGAAGTTTATCCAGGAACTATTTGACAAGTGAACTAGCTTCCCATGCTACCGCGGAGTTCTAGAAGGCAATGAAGGAGTGGGCTGAGCAAGAACCCCACCTGGTGGAGCAGTTCCAAAAGCCCTCAGAGGCTGCTGGGAGAGTGGGCAGTGACACAACCTCCCAACAAGAATTCACTTCTTGGGCTCGGTGGTTCAGCCTGTAATCCCGCGCCTTTGGGAGGCTGAGGTGAGTGGATTGCCTGAGCCCGCGGGTTCGAGACCCGCCTGGGCAACTTGGCAAGACCTCATCTCTACAATAAATAAAAAATCAGCCAGGCGTGGTAGAGTGCGCCTGTAATTGCGGCTACTCGGAAGGCTGGGGCGGAAGGAGCGCCGGAGCCCAGTGGGTCGAGGCTGCGGGGGCCGGGAGTGGCCACTGCACTCCAGTCCCGGTGACGGAGTGAAACTCCAACTCAAAAAAAAAAAGAATTCACTTAGACACTAAGTGGACTAGCCAAAAATGCCACTGACCTTCAGAACTCAGGCATGTCAGAAGAGGAACTGACGAAGGCCATGGAGGGGCTGGGCATGGACGAAGGGGATGGGGAAGGGAACATCCTCCCCATCATGCAGAGTATCATGCAGAACCTGCTGTCCAAGGATGTGCTGTATCCGTCACTGAAAGAGATCACAGAAAAGTATCCAGAATGGTTGCAGAGTCACCGGGAATCTCTGTCTCCAGAGCAGTTTGAAAAATAGCAGGAACAGCACAGTGTCATGAACAAAATCTGTGAGCAATTTGAGGCAGAGACTCCTACAGACAGTGAAGCCACTCAAAAAGCTCGTTTTGAGATGGTGCTTGATCTTATGCAGCAGCTACAGGATTTGGGCCATCCTCTAAAAGAACTGCCTGGGGAGATGCCTCCTGGCCTCAACTTTGACCTGGATGCCCTCAATCTTTTGGGCCCACCAGGTGCTAATGGTGAACAATGTCTGATCATGTGAAACACGACACGTTTTCTTCCCTGAGTCCCATCCATGGGGAACATCTGGAGTCAGCAGAACCATTAGGAGCTGAGGCAGGAGTGTTGTCTGTGGGAGTGGTCTGCCCGCTGCCCTCTGTCATCTCATTCAAGATTGTGCCATACCAGCTGAGGCATTTTCTCTGATTCCTAGGAATAGGGTCTGTTTCGCAGGCCTTTTCTGTGAGCCCTATTCCATTGTGGTTTCTGCCACGATCACAGGCCGAATGAAGGAAGGTCTCTCTTTTGGGGGGCACGTATCTTCTTTCCTCTCCTGCAGTAATGTTATGATATGTGGCCACATGGATGTTCACCTTTATGCCCCGGGTCTTTGTGCCTTGTTTCCACTCCCTCTCTTGTACCTGGGGAGCAGGGGCAGAGTCCTGGGACTCTGTATTTCTATAGTCCTCTCGGTAGGACCTTTGGGAATGGAGAGAAGCAACCTGGACTGTGGCTACAGGTCTGTTACCATACTCACCTTCAGACAAACCATCCTGAATTACCTAAAAAGAAAGGACTTTTAGAGTTGATTTTTGTGTACAGTGATAGATAGGAGTCCTGTTTCATTCCGGACTCTACTCTTTACTGGGAGTATTCCTCTAGCTGTGCCACTTAATCTCCGTCACTTCATCTGATAGTGCATATCAGTCAGACATTGCTGTTTAACAAACAAGCACAAAATGTAAGTGGCATGAAACAATAGCCATTTTGGGGGGGTTATTCATCTGTGGGTTGACTGGAGTTCAACTGATCTAGGGTGGCTTTCATTTAGTGGTACTGTTTCTCACTGCCGGTCTGTGGCTGTGATTCCTCTATGCTATTTGCCTCTCATCCTGTTTCTAGTTTTAGGCAGGTTCTTCCCCTCATACTGACATATACACAAGAAAACAAGGCCAAATGAACATTTTTCACGTCTGGTCACATCACATTCGCTAACTTTTCATCAGCCAAAGCAAGTCATGAGACCAAATAACAAGTGATGGGGCAGGGAAATCAGTTCTGATTATTTAGTGGAAAGAACTTCAAAGTCACAAGTCAAAGAGAGGGGATACAGAGAGGAGTGAAGAATTAGGGAACATTAATGTGATCTACCAGAGTGAGTACCTGCAGAGTTGTTATGAAGACAAAATGATAGAAAGTATTCAATAGTCAATAAATGTTAACCTTTAGGTTAAGCTTCATTTCTATTTTTATTTCTCCATTTTGCTCCTAAGCTTCTAACAGTTTTCAGCACATAATAGATAT